CTCCAGCCCTGCCCTGTCTGGCCACCAACCCGCAATCCACACCAGCACCCCCTCCCAAACCACCCAGCCCCCACAGGTTCTCCAACCCTGCCTGGCAGCCTGGCAGCCTGGCAGCCCCACACCCACCCTCCCTTCCAGGTCCTATTCTGATCCCTAGGCAGAGACAGATAGAGCCATCTGACAAGACTTGACTACTTTTACTTTTTTTTCCCCTTGAACCTAGGGCCTTCACATGAGCCGCATGCCCACCCCTTTAAAAATTTTTCTTTTGAGTCAGGTTTCTCCAAGTCTCTAAATTGCTCAGGCTGGGCTTGAACTTGGGGTCCAACTGTCTCAGTGAGAAGTATAGGTGTTGTCGCCATGTCTGCCTCTGCCTCTGCTTTTTAGGGGATGTGGGGATGGAAACAGGCAACGTAGACGTGTCTGGGGTTCTGTACAAGTGTTCTTTATAAACTTTTTATGATGTTGAATTTACTGTTTTTAACTTAAACTTGATATCTTGCACAGTTGTCCTCTTCCCTTAGAGGAATGCAAGGCCCAATTTTCTCTTTTAGGGGTTTGAAAATTAATCGTACAAAATGGAGTCACATCCTACTAAAATGGAGTTGAGAATCAGCCCCCCAATATAAAGACCCGATTCAAAAATGGGCATCCGAAATGAACAGACATTTCTCAGGCAAAGAAGTAAAAGCAGCAAGAAAATATATGAAAAAATGTTCCACATCACTGGTCATTCGAGAGATGCAGATGAAAACAACACTGAGATTCCACCTCACCCCACAAAGAATGGCTGCTATCAACCAATAACAAATGTTGGCGGGGTTGTGGGGAGAAAGGAACCCTTCTCCATTGTTGGTGGGAGTGCAGACTGGTGCGACCACTATGGAAATCAATATGGAGATACCTCAAAGAGCTGGGACTAGAGGTTCCATTTGACCCAGCCATCCCTCTGCTGGGTATCTTTCCAAAAGAATTAAAAGAAACACACCACAGTGATATATGCACACCCATGTTTATAGCAGCACAGTTTGTAATAGCTAAAACTTGGAAACAGCCCATCTGCCCATCAGTTGGAGACTGGATAAAGAAGATGTGATTTTTCTATAAAATGGAATACGACTCAGCTATAAAGAATGAGAAATTGGAGACATTCATAGGAAAATGGATGCATATTGAGGATATACTCCTAAGTGAAATAAATAAGTCACATGTGTAAATGCCAAATAGTTTCTCTGGTGTGAAAAACTATAATGGTACATAAGATCCTAATGATATAATTAACAGTGTGAAATAGGAAGAAAAGGGCTAAAGGTGTAGGGAAAATGGGAAGGGTAGGGGAAAGGTAATAAGGGAAAAATATGAGAAAATGAAAAAATGGAAACAAAGTGTTTGTAAATGGGGAGGGGAGGAGGGGTTGAAGGGAGGGCAGGAACAAGGGGAAAAAATGAGAACCAAGACCTGTCATGTAAAGGTACGAGATCCCAATAATGAATGTAACTGTACTGTATACCTAGATTGTACCAATAAACTCAATGAGAGAAAAAAAAATGAAGTTGAGGAAATACTGTTGGTCTGCTCTAGAATTCTTTCAGAGAAGTAAAGGAAGCAGCCCATCCTATCTTATTTGTTATTTTCTTTTATGTTTTTTCAGTACTAGGGATTGAATCCAGGGCCTTCATAATGGGCTACATCCCCAGCCCTTTTTTGTTTTTCAATAAGGTCTTGCTAAATTGTCTGTGCTTGGCTTGAACTTACAGTTTTCCTGCTTCCCCCTCCCAGGTTACTGGGATTACAGGCCTTTGCCCCTACACTGGGCTCTAGTTTACCTTTATCAGCCTCCTGACATAAGCATTTATTGCCCTGGAAAATATACATAAAAATTAGGAATGGGTTTCTCAAGCCAACCAGATGTTTAACTTTCAGAAAAGCTACCAAGCAGTTTTTTAGTGTGGTTAGACAGTTTTTTACTCTCATAAGCAATGCATGAGAATTCCTATTGCTCCATATCCTTGCTAACATTTGGCATTATTTTATTTATTTATTTATTTATTTTGGTACCAGAGATCAAACTTGGGACCTTGCACTTGAGAAGCAGGCTGTGGAAACACTGAGCTAAATACCTGGCATTTGGCATTATTAACCTTCTCATTTTACCTACTCTGAGGGGTCCAGTGCCACATCTCAATGAAGTTTTAATTTGCATTTTCTTGATGGCTAATAATTTGAGCACTTTTTAAACACGTATATTGACTTTTTAAGTATCTTCTTTTAAAAGGGGTCTTCCCACATCCTTTGCTCATTTTTTAGAACTTGGGTTGTCTTTATTATCAATCTGTCCTATGTCCTATGTCTATGGTTTGCATTTTCACTTTAGAAAGAAATTATGTCTTTTGATGAATGGGTGCTTTTATTTTGATGAGCTCTAATTGATTGATTATCTTTTATGAATAATGTCTTTTGTGTCCTGTTTAAGAAATCTTTGTCTATCCCAGTGTTTTTAGTTCAGGCTGCTCTAAACAGATACAGAGAATAGAATGTGTCTTTTAAAGGTTGAGTTCACATTGATTCTTTCAATTCAGTTTATTGTTTACTTGTTTCATGTTTATGTATTACTTAGCTTATTATTCTCTACTTTTCCCATAGTACTACTAAGAATTTCTACTGTGTTTCCCAACATAAGCTTTTATTTGAAAAGGGGATCTTGAAAGTTAAAAAGAAATATATGAAAAAACCACCAGTCTCTATAGTACTCAAAGTCTATGTCCCTCTAAGATGTTTTGTGGTTTCCAGGGTAAGGCCACTCTAAGCAGAACCGCATATTAGGGACAGATTCAGGTACTGTAAGGCCTAAAGCTTATGTAATTTAGTAAAAACTTTTTAAGAAAAAGAAAATTTTAGGCCATTTTACGTGGAATGGTCACACTGTAAGATGTGTATATTGGCCAAGATGTTAGGATGCATAGACAGGAATGTCTATCACAAAAATGCTGTAGTATTGTAAGATTGCACACTGCATGGATAGCAAAAAAAAAAAGAACATTTTTCTTTTTTGAGACTCTCAGTTTTTAAAAATATTATGTCCTCATATTTGTCCACATTGTAATATTAAATATATTTCTAACAAAATAGAAATTCCACCTTGACAGGGAGTCACAGAGATATTCAACTTATCATTTTACATGGCTGATAATGGAAAGATTTCTCTACAGACAAACTTCTGACCTGTGTGCATTTAAAAGTTGTTCGTCTCCACATTCACAACACAGTGTAGGCACATGAGTCCCAGCATAGGCATTTGGACTATTCTTGGGGAAAATTTTATCCCAGGAGGCTTTCAGCAGCCATAGCTACCCAGAGAGGTGCTGAATACCTACATCAGTCCAGCCCAGAGAACCCAGGCTAATTGTGTCTTCAACTCATCTACCCCTCAGCTTGGCCCTCAGAATGCTTCTGGACACTCCAAACCACGCAACAAGATGGAAAATGTGATGGAGGGAAGGTAGTAGTAGAAAGAGAACTAAGCTAAACAGCTTAGTTAAAATGTCTTCACTTCTGCAAATTTTGGAAAAATGTAAGTGAATTTTCTGAATTTCCTCTTAAACCTAGTAAAGACTCAATAATGGGTCAAAGGCTTAAGATTAATTATTTCATAGCAAATATAACTGTATGAGACTTAAAATTAGAAATGTAAGCAGAAGCATGATATACATATTTTTTAATAATTACTTCTTGCTGTAAATATTAGATAATATTTAAATTTTAGGTTATATCAGGTGTTGATGCATATATACATCCTTTGTGTATTGTGAAAAATGTGTAACTCCTTAGGACCTGGTACATATTACATAGACACAAATGTCTTAGAAGTGTGGATAGATGTGAATAAATGTTTTAATTATGGTATGATTGGAGACTGTTATAAAAGACTAACATACAAGCAACTTTCCCCTATCATTCACTAAACCTCACCATTAGAAAAGTTGAGTGTCATGTGGTGATACAGAACATTATATTATACATGTGCCGCATGGTTTCACACGGTGAAGCTAAATACAGTAAAACCTTGGTTTGCAAGCATAATTTGTTCTGGAAATGTGCTTATAATCTAAAGTACTTGTATGTCAAAGGGACTTTCCCCATAAGAAATAAGTGACAACTCAGATGATTGATTCCCTAACTCAAAAATATTCATATAAAATTATTATAATACAAAATAACAAAGAAAATACAAAATATAAAGAAAATAAACAAATTAACCCTCAGACACCTTTGCAGATCTTCGGGGCTGGTGTGAAGGAGACAAGAAAGAGGAGGGTTATTGTGTAGGACAACTTTCACTATCACTAACAGAATCACTGCTATCTATTGTCTCCATGGAATCTTTCTCTCTTCACGCAATTTTAACAAGGAACAGATCCAATGACACCGCTTTTGCCTCCTTTTGAGGATTTTGTGGAAATGCAACATTGCATTGTCACTGATCACACTACAACAGTCTTATTTGGATGGTGCTTTTCTACAAAATTTTGCACTGTTTCCCACATCTCCCTATTTGAAGTAAAGTATTCTTCCACCCTTTTCTCCTCCTCCTTTGTGGATGAAGTCTCCTCCGTAAGGTCTTGCTGTTGAGAGACAATTACCCACAGTCCGAGAGAGAGAGGGAGAGAGAGAGAGAGAGAGAGAGAGAGAGAGAGAAGGAAAGGAAGGGAGTGAGAGAGGTAGGGGGAGAGTGGGGGAAAGGAGGAGAAAGAAGCCATTGGCTCAGTTGTGATCATGTGGTGTTTGGTGCCATATTGCATGACATGTGTCATTTGTCAAGTTAAAATTTATTAGAAATGTTTGCTTATTTTATGAAATACTTGCAGAACAAGATACTCACAATCCAGTGTTTTACTACCACAAAATACTTCATTCAAATGTATATCCCTCTGAAATCCTTTTGTTACGGTTTGGGTCTAGATGCCCCCACCCCCACAGCCTCATGTGGTCACAGGCTTGATCTAGAATGTGGGAAGCTGGAATTGATTCATGGTGCAATGTTGGCTCAAGGGCACTAGGATTAAGGGTGTGAGTGCTACCTACTCTTCAGTAGTCTGAATAAAAGGGCCAGAGAGATGCTACCCGCTCCCTTGTTGCCTTTGCTGCCTTGTGAGCACCATGTCGTTTCTCCTCTGCGATGCCCATTCGCCAACCCTGGCTTGGAGCCAACCCATTATAGACTGAAACTTCTATGAACTGTAAGCCGAATAAACCTTTTCCCCTCCAACTGTAGGGGTCAGGTATTTTGCCTCAGCAACGAGAGAAAAGTAACTAATAGGCTTTTTGATATCTCAATAATGGTAAGGGCAATACCTTTTTATGTCACTTAATAACTCGTGTACTCACAGATGCGAACAGCATTTGAGCTAAAGCTGTATTCCCATTATTGAATTCTCCCACATTTTAGATTGAATATTTTTATAAAAAACTTCCCAGGAACTATTTTACTTAAAAAAATTTTCCCTGATCTGAAAAATATTTCTGGTATCCACAGTTACATATTTTGACAGGCATGTTTATCTAATATAAACAAGCCAGACTCTTGAGTATTAAGGGAAGATACCAAGGAAAAAAGATAAAGTCATTATCTTAGGAAATTATTATTTACTTCATGGTGTAATTCAAATGTATAAAATGAAAATAATTTCAGAACAACTATAGTACTTTTGTAAGTATATTAAAAACATGATTATTGCTATAGATCACTGGAGAATATGCTTAGCAGTGTTATCAAGTGTGCTTAATATTTCAGATTTGATATTTTCACTGTGAAGGAATGGAACCAGACAGAAATTTGGAATTCTGAAGAATGATGGCTTGGATAGCTACATTAGATTAACTGATATTTTAAGTTGATAAAAATAATACATGTTATTTGCACATCCTAAATGTATAACAATGTTTACCCGTGACTCATTCTGCTTAATTAAATAAAATTATTTATTCAAAGTCCTGAGAACATTGCCTGGCACAAAGAACAATTAGTCTATTAGTGCAACCCCTTAGCTCTTAATTAAATTTTACAAAGATGTTGGTTACATATACTCTACCCAAAGTTATGCTATCCTGTCTAATTAAGAAAATACATTTTGTTTAATTAATTTAAGATATAAATGTAGTACATAGTTTTAAAATCAAACCTAGAGGGTAATGTTCAATCCAACAAATAAGCTTAATTTTTCAAGGTATAGCAGGCAGAAATAATAACAGTTTTTTAAAAAGTATGATTTCATTTCTAACATCAATTATGATTTATATTTTATATACACGGTAGGTAAGTGGACGTTTAGAGACATAATGTTGTGACCCAGAGTGATCAGACAGAGTGTGAACTGAAGTCTTACTGAATGGGAAGTTTTGGAAGAAAGTGGAGAAAGGACGATCTCTGTGTTACTGGCCACTTAGGTTCATAAGCTCAGATTCAGTGGCTTGCCACTCACCAAAATCAAAGGAAGTCATATATTTTGGCAAAAAAAAAAAAAAAAAAGAAAGAAAGAAAAGAAAGAAAGAAAGAAAAAAAAGTGAGAAGGATTGATTCAAAGCTAGCTCCAAGGAGATGGTGGAGCCATTTGTCTCAAATCCCCTTCTCCCCACATACAGGTGGCCAAGGGTCTTTTATAGTGAGGAACAGAGGGGAGGAGCACAGAGAGACAGCGCAGATCTCCACCCTTGCTTTATCACTTCTGGCCATCCTCAGCTCATCTTCCACTTCTGTGGAAAGGAAACCAGGCTCCAGACTCCTGGTTCTGGCATCTGCATATTACGTCACTTCTTTTGGGGCTGAGGAGAGGAGGGGGTGTTGGCTATGTGCTCAGCTGGAGGAAGACTGGAGAAGTTCCTTATCTCTAAAGAAAAAAAATCCAACTTTTAGAGTTTATTTTGCAATGCCAGCTACTCAGAGAGTAAATATTTTCTTATTTATAAGAAGATAAAGTTTAAATTAAAGTGAGGTTTAATTTAATATTTTGGGAACCTGTCTCAGAGTGACACAGACTAGAAAGGTAATTCATTTCCCAGGATGAGGAAACAGAATGGGTCTCCAAGATCTAATGTCAAGTAGCAGATGGGACTTGGTTCAAGAGAAAACCTTGCAAGATATTGAGGATCTCCTCCAGCCCTGGGGCTAAATACTATGAGAAGAGATAAATCTTATATCCAGAACTTTATATTGGTATTCTATTTTTTCCTCATATTTACTAAATTTTTCCTTTAAACATATTTATTCATCTCAAACATACCAAGGAGAGACAAGGACAAAGGTACTTCTTTGTCCATGAATGAACCACCATCCGCAAGGACTTGAAGGGAATGGAAGTGATAGAAATCAAAGCAAGAAAACCCCAAGAATGAGCCAAATCTGAAAATGTAGGATGAGAGACAGGACACAGTAACTCCCTCCACACCTTCCCAGATTGGCAGGCCTGTGTTTTGCTGGGTGAGTGGCTGGCTGTTCTTTCTCACGTTCTCCACTGAATGGGGCAGGGGAGGAACAAGGGGCTCTCGGGCTGCAAGTCTGAAGAGCTGAGTTCTGAACTTCCTACTTAGGCTATATTAGAATCATCTTTGTTGGGCTGAGAGTGTAGCTCATGGGTAGAGCACTTGCCTTTCATGAGCAAGGACCTGGGATCAATCCCAGCACCACCACCACCAATAAAAGTCTCTGGTGTTCAGCATGACCCCACAACTGCCTCCCTTGCCAGGCTTGCCTCCTGTCACACCCTACTTGTTTACCTCATCTGTTCATGATGCGCCTGCTTCCTGCCTGACCACTATACCTGCTATTTGCCCTTCTTAGAATGCTCCTCCCACAGTGCTTTGCTGTGGCAGCCTCGTTGCTCCCATCTCAGGTTCCCATGCCACCTTTTCCAGGCCGCCCACCCTCCCTTCCAGTGACCTCTTTTTGCCTAATCTCTTTGGACTCTTATTTACTTTCTGAAATTATCTTGTATATCTGCCTACTTTCTCATTTATTGTTCATCTTCCTTTCTCTAGATTATCAGTGCCAGAGGACCAGGTGCCTCATTTGTTCACTGCTTGTACTTCACACTAGTACCTGGTACTTATAGGCATATAATAAATATTTGCTGAATGAGTTGAATAAATGCTGGTGACATGAAAAAGAAAAATACATGTATATGAATGTGAATGGGTCTGCAAGCATTTATCTATGTTCTGGTTTACTGCACAAAAGAGTTTGAGGTGGCAAACAAGAATCTTGACCTTGTATCTAGGAATCATTTAACTTCTTGTGTTGCTGATACTTAGGCACTTTTTTATGAAATTGTGATCTACTTATTCAGTTACAGTAATGGGTACAGATTTTACTTTCTGATTCTCATAGACCATAAAAATAGCTACTTCTTTTCTTCTTGACAAACTGTAATTAACATTTCTACAATAGATAATTATTTATCAAATCAGGCACTGTTTCAATTATTTTTTGTACCAGTAGAATGTAACACTCTAAGAGCACCTAGAAACAAATTATATGCTTTACCTCGAAACATAGCATGAGTTTTCTTCAACTTTGAG